TGAAAAGCAAATAAGTGAAATAAGGCAGACAGAGAAAGACAAATACTGCATGGTATCTCACTTATGTGTGGAATAATAATAATAAAAAAAAGGTTGAACTCATAGAAACAGTCCAATGGTGGTTGCCAGAGGCTGGGAGAAATGGGGAGAAGTTGGTAAAAGGATACGAACTTTCAGTTAAAAGATGAATAAGTTCTGGGGATCTAATGTATAACATGGTGTTTATAGCTAATAACAATGTATTATAAAATTGAAATTTGCTAAGAGTAGAACTTAAGTGTTCTCACCAAAAAAACCCCCAGAAAGTTAAATATGTAAGGCGACGGATGTCTTAACTGAATGGCGGGACCCCTTTCACAATGTATATGTATATTTAATCATTGTAAACTTTAAATATGTGACAATTTTACTTGTCAGTTATACCTTAAAGCTGAAAAAAAATGCAAACTTTTTATTGAATAGATTTTCTTATATCTGAAACATGGCATCCAGTTGCTCCAGTCGATCGCCGTGGAAGTTTATAGTTTTGTAGGAAGTCCTTGGTCAAAAGCTTCTGGAAATTTTAAATGTATGTAAATGGACGGAAGTGGGGAGCAAATACAAGTGTGTTCTTCTAACGGAAGCGTTCACTCTTTAAGTGGGCATTTACTTAGTGTAGCTGATTGTTTCAAGAGAACACCCTTTCTGCATGGCTACTGAGGGTATCTGCAAGAATATAAAGTGCAGCTCAGGGAGGCAGTGAGTTATGTGGGGGTTGGTAACCCTTTCTGTAAAGGGCCTGGTAGTAAATATTTTAGGCTTTGTTGGCCCAGAGGCAAAATTGAGGATATTGGTACTTAAGAGAGAAAATAAACTTCCACGGACTTTTTATTAACGTATTCAAAATATAATAATGAGTAGAATTTGTTTTTTGGTAATACAGGTCTATTAGTAAAAAGCATGGACTTCTTGTTATGGGGATAACACTTTACCTTACGGGATTCAAAGTTACTGTTCCCTGTCAGCAAATTGATTGCAAATGTTCATCTGTAAAAACCATTCTCAACTCGTGGGCCATACAAAACCAGGCAGCGGGCCAGATTTGGCCCATGAACAGTAGTTTTCCAACCCCTGATGTAATGGAAAGATGGAGCTTTGGACCCAGGCACATGCAGGTTTGAGTACTGGCTCTGAACTTGTGACCTCGAACATATCAGTTTCTGAATTGTGTTTATTAGTGCATAAACTGGAGGTAATGACACCTACCTCATGGAATAAGTATCTTCCCCACCTTTGTTGTGATTTTGCATTATGATTCCCGTTTCGTTGATGTAATTTAACTAGACTTACTGAGCATTAGTATTTAACAGATTTAGAAGCCAAATTTTTAGGGGATTGACTGTTCATATGGTCTCAAAGTACTATGTGAAAATGTGTTTTTGCAATGGAGATATCTGGCAGTTACCACCTTAACCAAATGCTTAAGATTGACAATCAATGGTGGGATATTCTGACATTATGTGCCCTTCAGTGATGTGTACTTCTTACTGTATCACCCTATCACCTGTGTGGTGTTCTTGCCAGAAATGTTTGACTTGAATGTTATCACAAGGAAACAAATCCAAAATGGGAAACATTTCTGCAGGACAAATGAACTCTTGAAAGGATTCAGTATCATGAAAAACTGAGGGGGATTGTTCAAGATTACGAGAAGACTAAGGAGACGTAAGGAAAAAAAAATGTAATTCATGAGCATTAATTAAGTCCTGGATCGGAAAAAGAAAATCCAGTTCTATAGGATGTTTTTAGGGTAATTGAGAAAATGAATGGATCATATATTGTATGATAATGTTAATTTGAAGTGTGAGAAGAATAAGTTGTTTTGTTCAGTGCTGCTCACTTCTTAGAATAGCACTGAGCACAATGCTTTCAATGGGAGGTTCCCAGTACATTTTAAAGTAATATTTTCAGGTATTAGTAGGCTTCTCTGTCTGAAATCACACCTAAGCACTGAATGTCTTCTCTTTAACAGTGTGCTGGTTTGGCCTAGGCATATACTGTGGTATCTAATGTTGGGTAATTGCATATGGGGGTTCATATTTTCTTGGGTCCCTCCCCCAGCTCCCTCTGGACTGAAAGTCTCTCTTGATTTTTAGGACATATAAATGAATGGGAAAGGAAAACCCAAGATAGTTGATGTGGCTCTTCAGCTATTTCCTGAGAGGCTGAGGTACAACTTTTAAACCCATGTACTTCAAATTCTCCTCTATATTTTGTTGAGGGTGCCTACGTGGGGGGCCGACATCCCCTGGGGGTATGCTGAATAGGAGACTCAGGAAGAAGGCCGTGGTGCACCTCTGGAGTGCTATGTGGCTGGAGCACCACTGAGGTGTTCTGGACTACGAGGCAGAGGGCCAGGATAAAGCATGGCGGAGGCCTTTCCTCATGCTTTAACCCTAAAGCCCCTCTTGGCTCAGAAGCGAGGGAACAGAAATTAACCTATTATATTCCTGCAGAAACTCTTATGGCTGTATAGTGTGAGGTGACTAAAGCTAATTTAGCAACCACTTGTAAAAGTAATTACAAGATGAGAGAAAGGAGAACAATTCTGCTACTACAGGCTGTGAAAACTAATTAATTCAGCAAACATTCATTGAGCAACTAAATATATAACAAGCATTGTAAAGTGTGAGTCCTGGGGGATACAAATGATAAAGATACACTCTTGGGTTGGGCATTTCGGGAGTAGGGGAAGGAGATAGAGTATAGTGGACACAATGGCCAAAATACTGATTTTGCTGTATTATAAGGCTGGTGATATGATAGAAACCTACTGAAAAGGGTTATAGGAATGCAGAAAAACATACCGTATGGAATTGACTAAGGTTTCAAAGATAAGGTTGGTCTTGAGGTGATTTGAAGAATGAGCCTGGTAGGTAAAGAAGTTGGGAGACATCCAACTTCCAGGCAGGGGACACACCAGGTGCCCAGAGCCCTGAATGACTTTCATGTGTTGAGAGATGGTTGGCATCTGGAGTGGCGGAAACCTTAGATCCAGGGTGGGGAGGAGACAGACATGGGGTTGTTGGAAAGGTTGGGTGGATCTCAAAAGCTATGGTCAGGAGTCTGGGTTTTATAGGAAAAGGGACAAGGAAGCCTGGAAATCCATGTGAGTTGGGGGGCAATCTTGTCGTAATAAGATATTATGGAGGGAATGTGGAGGATGGTGTGTGAAGTTGCATGAGTCTGGGGGCAGGACTTGAAGCAGTCGATGTGTGAGGAAAGAATCTGAATGTCGCCAGCTGCAGTGGAGAGAGAATAGAAAAGAGGGGTTCATTGGTGCTCTTGTACAATTCTTCCAACCCCTTTCACCAAGACTTTTTAAAATTTTAAAACTTTCTAAGGAAGTCTTTAAAAATATTTAAAAGAGAGAAGCTTATTCAAACCTTTGAACAGTTCTGAAAATTTATTATATTTCATCTAGCAAAGAGTATTATTTTAGGCAAACTGGAACGGGTGTGGACTGATTACTCAGCACAGTCACTTAATCTTTCAGAATTAGGTAGGAGGGAAGCTATTTTAGTGGCCTTCAATCTTCGTCCAGAACTTTGTCCATGTTCCTCTGCAATAGTCGGTGAATTTTTCTGATTCATATCCAGCACCCCAACAGTTTAGTGTACATCTGTAAGCTGTAAGGAAGTTGATTTCATCCACTCCTTTTCTTTCATCTCTTGCCTTCCACCTGAGAAAACAAACACTAGTCCATAGGTTCTTGTTCTGTATTAGAAATTTGCACAACATGTAACCTAAGTTGGATCCAGCTGAGAGTGTTACAGGTTTGGAGTTTAGATTCAGGAAGAGGAATGGAATCTTCTCATTTTTTCCTTTATTTTGGAAAAGCTTGGCAACTTGGACTGTTTGAAGGAGCAGTTATATAAAATCCCTCCTGCTAATTGAGTATCTGGGATAAAGCACCACCTTATTTTCTTTAGATTGCATTAAAACATTACTACCCACAATTTAGAGCTTTTCTATGGAGAATTTAGACAGAACATTTTGAACCTCGATAAACAAACAAAAACTTACAAAATTAACCTGCTTTTGGGATTGAGAAGTCCCAGGCTTATGTATGTAAGTTCCAAAGGCTTATGATTACTTTCTCTTCTTTGTGGCTTGAATAGTCTGGAAAGTTTTTGGCATGTCTCTTGGAGGTTTGGTGTACAAAGTGACCTATGGGCTTACCTCACTTATGTGTGTATATTCTATGTTGGCTACAAAACAGTGATTCTAGTGGTGTATGAGACCAAAGGACTGATTCCAAGGTAAATAAGGCAGCTTACCTATGTCAGATTTGGGTGTTATTCTTCAAAGTACCATAGTGAATATGTTTTAGTAGCAATTTCACTTACCTTTTGTTAAGAACTTTTCAGTTCTATGTGGTAATTATGGTAAAGGAATAACGTAAAGTTAACTTGGTAGTTAATTAACACTGACTGAAATATAGTTATTCACATACCAAAAATTACAATTTCTTAATATTAGGAATTATTCTGTAAGACAACTATATTGGTGTTGGAATTGCATTGGTGGTGGTGGTGTTTTTTTTCCCATGTACAGGCAAGCCTGTACCTGAAGATGTATAATTTATTCATAATAAGAGATTGTGTTGCAAAACTCATTTACATTTTATTTGTAAGGCTTGATTGAGAATTTTTTGACTCTCTTCTGGGTGTCTATCCTTGTGCTAGGAGATGAATCGAAGTTATTCATTGCCAGTGGTGAGAAGACATTTTAATGGGAGGCAGAGAAAAACATAACTATAATGTGATAAGTGCTGATATAGTCATTAAAAGCTTAAATATGGAGAATTTCAAACGTATACAAAAGTACAGACAGAGTAAGAGAACGAACTCCCATGAACCCATCATCCAACTTCAAGAGTTTTCAACTCTTGATCAGGCTTGTTTCACTCATACTCCCCACTTCCTTCCCCCCTTGTATTTGGAAGCAAATTCAAGACGATGTATCATGTGATGGACATTCGAATAGTCAGAGAATGCACTGGGAAAATAAAGCATACCTAGAGACTTGGGAAGGAGCCATAGGGAAGTACCCTTTGAGTTAAACCCAGTGGGGAAGGGAGGGGGTTGCAGTTCAGGGTGAATGGGACGGAACCCAAGAATTATTTGAATTTTGGTAAGCATTGTATTAGGTTTGTTTAGTATATTATTTAATTTTTTTCCCTCACAATAGTCTTATGAAAGAGACAATATTGCTGCCTATGAAGAAACTGGGTTTCAGGCAGATCGAATTAATTTGCCCAAAGTCATAAAATTGATTAGTTTCTTCATTGAAAACTACTCTTAACTTTAAGGCTATTTAGTTTTCCATTTTAGGCAATATGCCCACTAGCTACAGAGATGGAAAAGGGCAAGATGTGTTTGGAAAGTGGAAGAAGCTGAAAGCAGCTACGAGAGAGAGAGGGAGGGAGAGGGAGGGAGAGGGAGAGGGAGGGGGAAAAGAGAGAGAGAGAGAGAGAGAGAGAGAGAGAGAGAGAGAGAGAGAGAGAGAGAGATGTGTGGTGTCTTTTCTGCAA